AAAAAAAAAAAAAAAAAACCCACCACAAAATTATACAGCCATTTTGAGAAACAGTATGGCAATACTTTAAAAAGTTATATAAACACTTATCATATGATCCAGCAATTCCACTGCTAAGTATTGCCCAAAAGGATTTAAAATATGTCCATGCAAGGATTTGTTTCCAAATGTTCATAGAGATAGTCAAGGATATTGGGCTCAAGCCTGAAATTTTGGGGCGTAACACAAAAGCTTCTACAACCTGAATCAATTCACTTTGACTCTCTTGGCCTGTATTTTTCTATCTTGGGAAATGTCACCACTGATCCAGACTTCCTCATAAAGTTAGTGTCATAAAAAGCACAAACTATAAAAGAAAAATATTCCTTAAATGGATTTTATCAAAACTATGAACTTTTGCTCTTTGAAAGATACAACAGCTAGGTACAGATTTGGAGACACTTGCAAAACATATCTGGCAAATAATTTGTATCTAGAATATACAAATAACTCTTACAGCTAATTATGAGGAAAATAACTCAATTTAAATGGGAAAAATGTTTGACCAGACACTTCCCAAGATAAGATACAAGTGGAAACAGCAAGAAGCACATGAAGAGACACTCAACATCGCTGCTCATCAGAAAATGAAAATTAAAACTGCAATGAGATACCATTACATAACCATTGGAATGGCTAAGTTTAAAAGTCTGATAATACTAAGTGTTGCCAAGGATGTAGAGCAACTAAAGCTCTCATATATTGCTGGTAGAAATGCAAAATTGGGCCAGCATGGTGGCCTGTAATCTGTAATCTCAGCACTTTGGGAGGCTGAGGTGGGCTGATCATTTGAGCCCAGGAGTTCAAGATCAGCCTGGGCAACATGGTAAAATCCCGCCTCTACAAAAAAAGTTAGCTAGGCATGGTGACATGCATCTATGATCCCAGCTACTTGGGAGGCTGAGGTGGAACAATCACCTGAGCCCAGGACATTGAGGCTGCAGTGAGCCATGATCATAGCACTATACTCCAGCCTGGGTGACAGAGTAAGAGCCCGTAACAAAAAAAAAAAAAAAAAAAAAAAAAAAAAAAAACCCACAAAATTATGCAGTCATTTTGAGAAATAGCATGGCAATACCATAAAAAGTTATATAAACACTTATCATATGATCCAGCAATCCCACTGCTAAATATTTCCCAAAAGGAATTAAAACATGTCCATGCAAGGATTTGAAGTATTCATAGTTGCATTAGTTATAATAGCTCTGAACTGAAAACTACCCAAATGCCTAATAAATGGTCAATGCTATATATCATTGGCAACTGGTCAGTGGTATACTGACCCAGCAATAAAAAGGACCACAATATTACCATGCACAACAACATAAACCTCAAATGCATCATGCTGAGTAAAAGTCAAACATAGAAAATTAATACTGTCTGTTTCCATTAGATGAAACTCTAGAAAAGGCAAATGTACAGTGACCAGAAATTAGGGGTTGCATAGGGTTTGGGCCTGCAGAAGGACCACAAAGAAACTTTCAGGGTGATGGAACTGTTCTTTTTCTTGACTGTTGTGATGTTTATCCAACACAATATATTATTATAATTCATTAAGGTATAATTTAAAATGAGTGAACTGTACCAGATATAAATTATATCTTAATAAATCTAAAAACAAAATTGCTTTCAAATAATACAGAGCAGCTAAAATAATTTTTTAAGAAAATATAAATCAGATTGTTAATCATTCCTTGAAATCTTTCACTGATTTCCCACCAGTGAAAATAACATTGCAACTCTTTCCAAATCCCCTCAAGTCCTCTGAGAGCTGGATCCACCTACTTGCCTCTGCAAATCAATGCCTAAACTCCCCCACTGCTGACCACATCTCATCCTTGTTTGGCTTTACTACTCCTTGTACAGTCAGAATGCAATCCTACCTCAGAGCCTTTGGACCTGCTATGCCCTCTCCCTGGAACACCCTGTCCCAGATCGTCCCAGACCTGGTGGCTTCACATGATTCAGGTACCAGCTCAGACGTCACTCTTGAGAAACACTTCTGGCCATGCCTTTTAACGTAGCTGCTGAGTCACTTTGATTCACATAACCCTGTTTTATTGCCTTTTAGAAACTCATCTGGAATTAATATTTTCAGTTATTTGTTTACTTTTTCATCGCCTTTCTTCTCTTCTCCCCTCTGGAATCTACAGGCTTCAAGAGATCAAGAAGCTGGCCTGGCATTTAACTACCTGTGAGATGAATGTTGAATGAATTACAGATTTGAGTACAAAACCACAGCAAAACGCATGTGGTTACTGATCATCTCGGGTCATAGATAGATGGCCCCTTGAACAATACACAGTCTGGTTAATTAGCCCATTATTTTAAGTTTATGACATGCTAAATAATTGTATTGCTTGACCAAAGCCTATTTAGTAAAGCTCACCATTTCTTCTTTGATACGCTCTGTGATTTTATCAGTTGCTTCCTCATGTGCATGGAACAAGCTGATGACGCTGGTATTATCAGGGTCCAGGATATTTCCATCTTCATCTCTGACAATCAAATCGAGCTCAAGGATTCTGTAAAGCAAAAATTGGAGGTGAAGATAAATCAGGGGAGAACTTTAGGTCACTGATGAGAAGCTTTTTACCAGAAAGTTCAACTGATTTCTGGGCATCAGATAGTCACAGAGAAGAGCTCTACACTGATAGCCTGTGACACTGCTAGTGAGCACGTACTGGTATAGTACGGCCCTTTTGGAAGGTAATGTGGTAGTGTGCATTCAATTTTTTAAAAAGGTATATTTTCCATGGTATTCAATCAAAACAGTCAACACTTGAACTAGGATGTGTTTAGCATTGTTTGCATCAGCAAGTATTAAAAAAAAAAAATGTCAGCTGGGTGCTGTGGTTCACACCTGTAATCCCAGCACTTTGGGAGGCTGAGGCAGGTGGATGAGCTGAAGTCAGGAGTTCAAGACCAGCCTGGCCAACATGGTGACACCTCATCTCTACTAAAAATATAAAAATTAGCTGGGTGTAGTGGTGAGCTCCTGTGATGTCAGCTACTTGGGAGGCCGAGGCAGGAGAATTGCTTGAACTCGGTAGGCAGAGCCAAGACGGCACCACTGTACTCCAGCCTGGGCAACAGAGTGAGACTCCATCTCAAAAAAAAAAGTCTGCTAAAAGAGAAATGACTAAATCAACAGTGATATATCTATAATGGAATACCACATAGCCGAGCTTTTAAACTATTACATAGTTTTGCTACATTTAATAATATATTTCAGTGTAAAAATCAAGCATGGAAAAATGCATATAGTATGCATATGGTATTTATTTTTATAAATAACAATAAAACAAATAAACAAAAAATAGGCCAGATATGTTATCTGGGTGCATGTAAAAGAGTAAGCTTATATATAAGAAAAAGCTCTGAACAAAAAAAGGACCAAACTACCAACACAGGTTATCAGTGGCGACAGGCCGGGGCCTGGGGCTGGAGGACTGAAGGGTCAAAGGTTACATGTGCCTTGTCTCAATTTATTTAATATTTTTTAAATGAGTCTGGGTTGTGCTCTGTCTTCCAGGCTGGGGTACAGTGGTGTGATCATAACTTCCCATAGCCTTGAACTCTTAGGCTCAAGCAATCCTCCCACCTCAGCCTCCTGAGTAGCTGGGACTACACATGTATGCCACCATGCCCAGCTACTATCGTACCTAGCCTCTTTTTAAATATATACACAGAGGAGGTATTTATACATTACTCAATAAAAATTTGAAAACAGTCGTTGGGGGGAAAATAATCTCAGCTATATTGACTGTTACCCACAGCTTGCTTTCAGCTATTTGACTTCCAGGCCACAAACTTTTCCCTGTTTCACACTGATTTGTTTCAGCTACACCTGTCATCCTCACTGGCATCAATGATACTAACAGCAGCAAACTTACACAGCACTTCCAATAAGCTCACATACAGTGAGTGTTTTACATAAAAGTAATGCATTTAATTTTCATAACAACCCTATGAAGGCAGTACCATTAATAACCCCATTTTACAAATGAAGAAAACACTGAGGATATGAGGACTAATTAATTTGCTCAAAGTCACATAGCTAGTAAAAGCTAAGAACACATCTTTGCCTGCACTCATAGCCTCTCTGGTACGCTCGCAGTAATAGGAGGAGTTTAAGAACAGTGTATGGGTTGGGGGATGGGGTGGGGTAGGTTTGCAGAAGCCTTAACTGCTTTTGCTCTTGATGTTGAGATGAAGAGCCTCAGTTGTCCATACAAAGAAGGCAGGAGGAGGTGGGCTGATGGGTTCTAAGGCCAACCATGGTCCTGCTGCACTACTGAGTACCAGATTCTGGAAGGGCAGCAAAGACAAATAAAGGAGACTAAGTCTTCATCTCTTATCGGAGAATCAAATTGAGAGGCACATCTCTCATCTCATCCAATGCAGTTGGAAGGGAGCCAAGGTTCACCCATTTGTCCACATTCATTAGGAAATTAACTCCCAACTCGATATGACTCATAATGGTGCATAGCCATGCTGCCTAATGGCGATGCTAAGGGCGAAGAAACACCTTCAGCTAATGCTTAGCAGAGGTTCTCCTGACCTTGGAAAGGATGGAGCATCACTGATACATAATTTAGTGCCAAGATCTCTCTGGCTGTTTCTCTTCAAAATTTATCAAAGTAGATTCAGTTCTAAAATACATGAATAAAACATTCTCCTGGGTCCAGCTATCTTGGGATGTGGGGAAGTCATTTCAGGATTCCTCACTCCTTGGACACTGAAGTCACTTGGAACTTCAGGAGCTTCAGTAGGATTGACAGGACTCCCGTGGCCCAGGGCGGGAGAGGCTGTCCTCCAACAGCCTCCGAATGCAGCCATTATGCATTTTGGGGAGCAGAACATTTAAGCATTCTCCCATCAGGATATAACCCCAGTGCTCTCTTCTGTTCAAGAAACTGATAAAATGAAGCCAAGATGAGGGTAGAATGAAAAGCCCCCACTGTGTTTATTTAAAAGAAAAAAAAAAGGTAAAATCAGCTGGGTGTGGTGGCACACACCTGTAGTCCCAGCTACTCAGGAGGCTGAGGTGGGAGGATCACTTGAGGCCAGGAGATGGAGACTTCAGTGAGCTGTGATTATGCCACTGCATATGCCAACCTAAAAATCTCCTGCAATGGCTTCCTATCACTGTCTGGACAGATTCAGACTCACTTGGCACTAAAATCCTCAAGGTTCCAGCCCCAGCCCACCCATGTCCTCCTCTCCATGGTCATGTCAACCTCTCATCTCCCACATTCTCTGAGTTTCTCTTCTCCATTTCACCTAGTAATTTCTGCTGGTCTGATTATATTCAGAGTGGTTGTCATCCCCACCCTGACTCCCACCCCCACATCCTCCAACCTTCTTGTCCATGCTTCCTGCACTCCTAACGTGTATGACTTCCAACTGAAAGTGGCTGTTTACTTCTCTGCCTCCCTTATTAACCCACAGGGTCTTGGAAGGCAGTAGAATGTGGTGTTTAAGCACCTGAACTCTGGAGCCACATTACCAGCTCAAATTCCACTGCATCTTCAGCAAAATCACCTGCCATTCAAAAGACCACCAGGATGGCTAAATAGCAGCAAGTGTAACCAAGGAGCTTAGCTTCAAAATGCATTTTAAAACTTTTTTCCTTTCTTCCCCATCTCAAGATGTAACCTTGAAAAAAACTGTAGAAACCTTTCTTCCTTAGTCTTAAAATATACCCTTGAAATATACTTTGAAACTCCATTCCCTTCCCTCTCCACCATACACTCCTATTCCATGCACATTTACTGAACTCTGTGCTTGTTAAGAAATTCCAGGGGCTAATTTAAAACAAACCAGGCATGAGGGCACAGCTACAGCATTCTCCCCCACTTAAAGATTGCCTTGAGATGGATCATCTACAGCCTGGCCACTGTCAAGATGGCACCAGCCTGTACTCCAGGTGGACCATAATTCAAGAGTAGCATCAGAGCAAGACACACAGCCCCTGCACCCTGCACAGCTCCTGCATGCCTCCCACATCCAGCTTACCTATCTAAAACCCCTGCCCTCAGCCCAGAGTTTTGAAGTGGTTTCTAGAAGGGTGTGCCTGTATGTTTCCCCACTGCTAGCTTTGGAAATAGTCACTTATAATGTACTTTGTCCCTGTTACTGGCTTTGCAAACAGCGAGCAGCAGAGCCTCTGTTCCATTACAAAAGGAGAACCTTACTGGTGACATCGGTTTGCAAACTTTGAAGCAACAGTCTCCGGCATGTAAGGAAGGTGCTCTCTGAAGAGGGGAAGGGTATGTTGGGTTCTATGTCTCGTAAGGTTAGCATCATATATATACAGCAGGTTTGGGGGGAAATTATACACATTTATAGAGACAAGAGCATGTACGACAGGTAAACATGTATGTAACATACAGCCCATGTTCACTTTGGGGTGGGATTATTAAAATGAGGTGAAACTTGGCTCTTTATATCAAAAGGTGAACTTATGGACACAGTTTGCGGGCAGCCTGAAGCTAGCTGAAACTGGCTTAAGGTCTGCAGTTCTTTATCAAAAAAGAATGTTTATCAGGCCAGTCTTCTCTCCACTTAGAGTTATAGTGGTCTGGATGTAAATCAGAGTTGGAAGGGTCTGATAATTTGCCTGATAGATCCTATTGTTAGGGAGTTTGGCAAGAGTATGTTTTCTCTTGCAGCTGTAGGAATTTAGGGTGTTGCCATGCCAGCTTTGCTGAACGCTCAACTTGAGCCATAAGTCACTGTTGTTTCTTTAACCTTAAGGTCCATCTTAGTTGATAAAGAGACATCTGTGTTGGTTTCTCAGATCACACACATAATCCCTCTTGAGCCCCACTTTCCTCACCTGAGAAACAGGCTGAGAATAGTACCTACCTCATAAAGTTGTGAGACTTCACAGAGACTGTAAAGGAAAGTGCTTTAAACGGTGCCTGGTATATTGTGAGTACTCTGGAAGTTATCATTAGTTCTCATTGCTTGCTTTTTGACTGCTGTTAAAAACAGAGGCTGTATTTTGTATGTGTCTGTACCCTGTACCCTTGGGGCCTACCAGGTGTGCCACAAAAGTTTCATATCTGAATGAAGGAATGGAATGAATGAGAGAAGACACAAGCTCATTCTGATCACTCCCCCAAGGTTTAGTTCTGTTTTGTGCCACCCCTACCCACTCTCCCAGCTGCTGGAGGTTGGAGGTGGGCTGATCCTCACCTTGGCCCAGGTGCTGGGCCTCCTGGATTTGGGGAAGGTGCCCATTCCACACCAGAGCTCTGAGCACCCATTAGACCAGTGACAAGGTGCCCACTATTAGGCCAGGGATAAGATGCCCAACTCTCTCACTTGCAGCTGAAGTAGTCAGGTAAATGAGGGGCCCCTGAGCTTGGGGTCTCAGTCTGTACCACAGGGCAGCTCTCACTCTCCAAAGGAAACTGACAAAACTAAAAGTAAGAGTCTAGGTCAGAGGATACTGCAGAGGAGGTGCTGGTTTAGGGAGAACACTCTTTTTTTTTTCTTTTTTGAGTTGGAGTTTCACTCTTGTTGCCCAGGCTCGAGTGCAATGGTGCGATCTGCACTCACCACAACTTCCGCCTCCTGGGTTAAGCAATTCTCCTGCGTCGGCCTCCCAAGTGGCTAGGATTACAGACATGTGCCACCATGCCCAGCTAAGTTTTGTATTTTTAGTAGAGATAGGGTTTCTGCATGTTGGTCAGGCTGCTCTCAAACTCCCCACCTCAGGTGATTCACCCACCTCGGCCTCCCAAAGTGCTGGGATTACAGGCGTGAGCCACCACGTCCAGCCAGAAAATGATTCTTGTTAGTAAGGTTAACCTAACCAAAGTCACAACCTTATTAAGTTGTGTAACTCACTCAATTATCACTCACTGAGCCCCTACTATGTGCAGACCTTGTTCCAGGCACAGGCATAGAGGTGGTTTAGACAGTCAACATCCTATAGGAGCTCCAAGCATAGGAGGGAAACTGGGCCAAAAGGGAGGCAATTACTACTCAGGGCCTTCAAGAGCACCTAACCCAGCCCAAGGTGAGTTGTGAAAAATCAGGGAAGGCTTCCTGTGAGAGGTGACCACTTCTTCCATTCTTGACCCTTCTTCTCGGAAGCCCCCATTGAGAAAACAACAATTTGAAATGTCGTAGATGTCATTGTAAAGCAGCCCTCAGTTCCTATATACTCAGCTGCAATTGTGCTCAGCTAAAGAGCCACGGAACCGAGGGAAGCAGCAGCTGCATGGCAAACCCTTCCTGTCACTTTGGGATGATGTGCTTTATAAGCAGATTTGGACACGCTTGCTAGATGCCAACACGGGCACTGGCAGAGGGACTGTATTCCTGGGATGGAGAGCAGCTGTGAGTCGGAGCCACTGACTTTCCTCTCCGAAACCTCCTCCTAGTGCTTATAACAGGGCAAGAAAGCTTGGCCTGGCTGCTGGGAAACTTCTTTTTATTCTCATTAAATGGGCTTTTTACTTCCCCTCAGGACCTGTGTTCCAGCCTTAAGACTCACTTTGCAGTTCCTTGAGTATGCCATGCTCTCTCATGAGCCCCTGTCCCTCCTTCTTTTTCTAGCCTGCTTAACATCTCTTTATCTTTCAGACTTTAGCTGAGGGGTCACCTCCTTCAGGAAGTCTTCCTTGACTTCCTTCTCAAAGGCTCATTAAAAGCACTCTTGCTTCCTGAGCCATTGAACTTATCACAATACATATCAGCAGTTTACTTGTGGCTTACTCCTAGTTGGAACTGTGATCCTTTAGTGGACAGGGACTTTTATTTCTACAGCCCCAATACCTAGCAGGAGATCCAGCCAACTATAAGTGGTCAATACATGTTCGTGGTTGTAGAATGAAAGAGCAAATGAACAGGATGTATGGAGGCCATTCAAAAGGCCAGGAGGGAGGGGAGGCCCATACAGTTCTCAAACACTATCCAAGTAGCAGAGTGGAGAGGGCCATGGGCCCTGGAGCCAGACTGCCTGGGTCTAATTTCAGGTCCTGTCATTTACTAGCTGTGTGACTCTGGACAAGTTACATACCCTAATGAAAACCCTCAGTTTCTTTATCCAAAAAAAAAAATGGGGATAATAAAACTGCATGTGCCATAGAGTTATTATAAGAATTAAATGAGACAATGTGTGTAAAACACTTAACACCAAGCCTGGTGTACAATGAGCTCTGATTAAAAGTTACCTGTAATGTCATTATCAGTGGGTTGTCCCACCTCAAATAATTGGTTCAGTTTCTCCTTAACTTCATAGCATTCAAATTCCAACCAATTTTTACTTCTCTTCCCTTTTGAGGAAACACTTTTGTAATTGTGCTTGTGACTTAGCTGATCGTGTGTGGGCTGGATCTTTCAGGATGGGGGAAGAGACATTAAGTCTCACACTGGGATTTAAGGGAGAGTTTTGCAAATGCAGGGATAAAATGACAACTAAGCTGAAAGTGAACCAGCAGGTCTATGCTCCCTAGTCCCTCAGAAGTAGGTTAAATGTGTGTTCTAAATCTCTCAGCCTGGTAATAAAACCGTGTAAGCACAAGACTTCTCTCCACCTGCATGTCCCTGGGTCCCCCGAGGGTGGTAACAACAGCACAAAAGCACAGCCCTGGTCACAACCTTCTCCCAAACAGAAAGTGGCAAACTTGCATCTAAAAATGAAACCCAGCTGGGGAGAGAGAAAGAGAAGAAGGAGGATGGCTGGGGGAAGAAAGCCTCTTTGCAGAGGAGAGGTTACTTGTTGCCATAGTCAATTTTGGACGTGACTTTCTGCTTCAGTTCCTTCAGCTCGTCCTTGGGCAAGGTTCCTGAGAGAAGCTGGGACCTCCACTCCATCAGATCGTACATCATGGACTGCACCTGGAGAAAACGCTCCTTTTTGCTGGCCTAGGAGACAAGAAACAACCCATAATCACCTGTGTTAAAGGGGCATGGCCATCTATTTGGCAGGCTATGCCAAAGTCAGACAAGCATGGTCAGGGGCCGTGGACTGAGACTCTCTCACAGCCCTACCCACTACAAAGGAATTAGATGGGGGTCTTAGTCCTTGATATATTTCTTCCCCGTGGGTCACAGGGATTTCCCAAAAGCAAAAATAAAAATCCCAGTCACTTCTTGGTTAAGAACTGAGTGATTTCTGACTTTATCTAAAAAGATATTTATTGCACAGGAATGCTACAAACATCTGCTCTAATGGAGGTCCCAGAGCTCAGGCCCTTTGAGGCTGGGAGCCAGGGCCATTTCTCTGGTGATAAAGGACTGCTTCTAGGGCAGCATTCCCCAAAGTGTGGCATGCATACCACCTGTGGGATGCAAGGTGGCTCTTCATGGTACAAAGATACAATATCAAACAACACGGACCCGTAGGGTGATTCTCTTCCACTCCATTTCTATCCTTCTGTTTAAGGGAAAAAGAAAGCGGCAGTTTTATAGTAATATGTCTCTAACACCTCTCACACATTGTTAATGTCTTTTTTAACAAAGAGAGAGACAAGGTCTTGGACTCAGAGCTTTTGACAGGTACAATAGCAAGCATGTTCCAGAGGCTGAGATGGGAGGATCACTTGAGCCCAGGTGTTTAAAACTGCAGTGAGCTATGATCGCCCCACTGCACTCCAGCCTGGGTGACAAAGCTAGACCCTGCCTCTAAATTTTTTTTTTTAATAAAAATGTTATCTTGTTTTTATTGTATTTAGTTGAATAATCTTCTGATTGTGCCAAGTATTTTTGTCTTTCCATTTGGGAGAGTGTGGGTGGTATAATGATATATTTGGTCTTTGTCCTTGGTTCCTGAAGTAGTTCTCCTAAAACTCTTGCAATGTCCAGAGTGATAAGAATGTATTTAGTTATTCCTACCAATCCCCTTTCAATGATGCCTGAGTTTATGCTAATGAGGTGACTTTAGGTGGGCACCTAGATAGCTTCAGGATAGGGATGCTGATTGTAGAGGAACCAACAAGGAACCAAACCCCCAATCACATGACTAGAGGATTGGAAATTAACAGCCCCACTCCCCTCCACCTGCCCAACCCAAACCTCTGGGAGGGGAGGGGGACTGAGGATTGAGCTCAAGCACCAACAGCCAATAATTTAATCAATCATGCCTGTGTAATGATTGATTGCTGTGTAATGAAACTCTGATTAAAACTCTTGGTCAATAATGTTTGGGGGGCTTCCCAGAAGGTGAACACATCAATGTGCTGGGAGGGTGATAGGCTGAGAGAGGACATGGAAGCTCTGCGCCCCTCTGTGCCTTGCCTTGTGTGTCTCTTCCATAGGCTGTTCCTGAATTACATCCTTTGTAATTAAACTGTAATCATATGTATAGCACATTCCTGAGTTCTCTGAGTTGTTCTAAAATACTATGAAATCTGAAGTGAGAAAAGGGGATGTCTAGCTAGGCAGGGAGGGGTGGTGAGAATCCCTGAATTTATAGCCAAGTCCAGCAGAAGTTCAGGTAGCCTGGGAACCCAGGACTTACGAATGGCATGTAACGTGAGGGCAATCTTGTTGGACTGAGCCTTTAAACCTATGGAGTCTGACACTAACCCTGGGTAGTCAGAGTTGAACAAATTGTAAGGCATCTAGTTTGTGACAGGGATTCAGAGAACTGCTGGAATGCTTCAGCATGCTATCACATCCTATATGTCTATAGATTCAAGCTTGCTGAAAGGAGATCCAATGCAAATATTAAGTAAATATTACACAGGTTGTAGGCAGATACGGCATGAATCAGGAATGTGATACTGAAGTACTAGATGTTTAAGGATCTCTTGACTACAGTAAATGGATAAATTTACTAGTCAAAAACTTCCTAAGGGAAAATGCCAAGCTTCAATGGTACATGTAGTTGTGATGCTTTAAAAGGGGTATTGGGCTGGGCATGATGGCTCATGCCTGTAATCTCAGCACTTTGGGAGGCCAAGGTGGGTGGATCAACTGAGGTCAGGAGTTCAAGACCAGCCTGACCAACATGGCGAAACCCTGTTTCTACTAAAAATACAAAACTTAGCCTAGCATGGTGGCAGGTGCCTATAATCCCAGCTACTCAGGAAGCTGAGGCAGGCGAACCGCTTGAATCCAGGAGGTGGAAGTTGCAGTGAGCCGAGATTGTGCCACTGCCCTCCAACCTGGACAACAGAGCAAGACTCAAAAACAAGGTGGGGACGGTAGTAGAGATGAACAAAAAATTGCTTTAGCCACAAGGATACTATTTGCCCCCTAAACTTTTCTAAAAACTTTTGAGAAACATAAAACTGGGTGTGCCAATCACATCTTCATATTATGAAAATCTACATGGGAGTCAACATTTAAGACCATGAAAGGTAACTCTACAAATACTGTGCATACACCAGCAGGTGTACACGGTGCCGTAACAAATATGCAGTAAGCCTTGGTTGACATTTTCACTCTCAGCTTAATGATTTGCTTAGCTAATTGCTTTCATTAGGAGCTTTGGAGCATCAAATGAGGACTTAAAATTAGATTTGCTTCAAAACAGGGAAAACAAATGCAAAAATTTGTTATTTGTTTTTCCAGAGTCAAAACTTCTTCATAAATCTGAGGACGATAGCCATTGGTTAATTAAAGTATAAGAACAGTATTTCTCAA